AGGTTGGGGAAGGCTGCCCTACGGAGTGTCACAAGGTTACATCTTGTGTGTATTTTGTGGAAGTGTGAGTTGAAGCTCTATCCATATGTGGATGACACTCTTATTTCCTTCTGTTGATCTTGCAGAGGCTGTTTAATGTCTGAACTGCTGTCCAGAGGACATTTAGGGATGTACAAGCACAAACAAAGACTTAATCATTTTAGGAGGGGGCAAGAAGAACTGCCCTGTTTATTTCTTTGGAAAAAAAACCCATCTGGTTCACCCCTTCGCCCTAGGCATAGCTAATAGATGGGGAAAGAGAGGAAAGTTATGCTTGCACATTTCTTAAAGGCTATTTCCCTGACCAAGCCCCCCTTCTAGGTCCTCCTGGTTCTCCTGCAATTGCATTTGTGCATGGCACAATCTAATCTTTTCTGCACAGGGCAACACAGTAGAACACATTGTCAGCGCAGTCGGCCTGTGCCCCACCGGTGCATCCATCTGGCATAAGAAACATGACCACACTCCCGGCCAGGGCTCCACTGCAGAGCCCCTCCTACTCGCACTTCCGCTGAAGGACCAAGTGTGTGGTTTGCAGAGGAGGCTAAGGACTCCTGTGCCATTCACCACGGCTTTTAAGTTTTATGGAAGCTTCCATTCTGGTGAACCACTTTGGGGCTAATGTTCAGCACCATGAACACCTCTTATACAGGACTGATGGAGGAGAAGTGCCGCAGAAACTGCAGTCCCCGAGCTCCCTCATCCTTTGGGAGCACTCCTGGCCCTGGCCCTAGCTGAAAGCCCTGGCTGTGGTGATGCTCGCGCGTACGTTTCACCTGCTCTGCCTGCTATGACAGTTGCCACGATTACTGTGATGCCTTTCACCTTTGAAGGCTTAAATGATATTGATCCAGGTTACCTGAGGGACAGCTTTCCTCCAAGCGATCCTGCCTGCACACGGGATCAGAGATATGATTGATAGCCCCTCGCAAAAGGGGGTTTTCTTTGGTACCTGAGCAAGGGGTGGTGAGCGCCCTCTTGCGTAAATCCTCTCAGGAGCTGGAAGCCTTTTCACAGCTGTGAACCACTAGCATTTCCCTCTGTGTGGGTGGTTGCTGTCGAGCTCTTGGTGCCCTTGCCCGAGACTACTTTGTGGCTCCACTGCAGCCAGGCCACGGTTTAGCCTGAAACCAAGCTTGGTCGCCCTGTGTATGGCTGTATTCCATGGGTCCTCAAACTACAGCCCGGGGGCCCGATCCGGCCTGCCATGCCCATTTATCTGGCCCGCCATGCCCATCTGGGCCGGCCGTGCACCCAAGCCCACGCGTGCACCCGCCACCGCCCACCTTGACCCGCGCGTGGGGTGGCAGCGGTTTGCTCACTTGGAGAAAACGATCTCCAAGCTGCTGCCTCATGCGCCCACCTTGCGGTGCATGCCCAGCCGGGCCTCGCCTCGCCTTCCCTTGCTGAGCGCACCCACCCACCCGCCTGCACCATGCCACCCCTTACCACATGTGCCCGCCCATGCCTCGCCTCGCCTCGCCTCAGCGCGGTCCGTGCGCACCGCCGGCACCACCTTTCCGGCCCACGCCCAGCACCGGCAGCTTTCAGCTGGCCCCCCGGTGGAAAAGTTTGAGGACCCCTGCTCAATTCTGCGAGACTAGGGGAGTGTGACCCCATTGGTTCTTCCTGATTTCTCAGGAGCTTTCAGCATCCTCAGGATCTTTATGGGGCCCTTGGCTGAACTGGGCATACTTATTCATACACCAGTGAAAACAATGATCAGGAATGAGGAATCAGCAGTGGAAGAGGCAAGTTTTCTGGTGGCACCAAATTATTTAGAAAGGTTGAACTGAAAAAACCATTGCAGGATGCTCCAAAGGGATCTCCCCAAACTGGAAGGATAGGCATAAGAATAGGCAGTTGTGAACTACCCAGAAAGCTTCAGCTATTGGATGGTATACAAAACAAGCAGAAAGGCCGGGTCTTAGCATTGGTTATCTCTTTAATGAATTATATTGCATTTTGGAATGTCTTTTATTGTTTTTGTCTGGTACATACACACACAAATTAAAATGTTTAGACAATAACCTAACAGGCTTTTTTCCTACCTTGATGGTAGTTTGTGAGTTTCAAGTACTACATAATGGAAGGTGCTTAACGAGTCCCCTGTTTCTTACATGCTGAAAGATGTTTAAATATTCCTCCTTGGATCCAGCGCACTCTTCAATGAACACACAGAGCTCCTACTTTTCTTGAAGGAAAGAGAGAGCTTCATGCACAATCACACGCTGTGCAAAAGTTGCCAACTAAGCTATCCAGTGAATGCAGGAGTTCCACTCCACATTCGCTCTAGAAATATGGAGGTCTGAGGTCAGGGCAGCCAGATGCCTCCAAGTTTAATCTTTTGTGAGACTAATGCAAAGTCTCAAAGCAGAGAGTGGTCTTAGCAAAAGGATCATTTTTTTTTTTCTCAGATAAAGTCCAGGAAGAAATTGCACAAGTCATTGGTTCTGCTCAACCAAGGATTGAACACAGAACAAAAATGCCATACACGGATGCGGTAATCCATGAAATTCAGCGCTTTGCCGATATAGTCCCAACAAATTTGGCACATGCAACCACCATGGATGTTACTTTTAAAGGCTACTTCATTCCAAAGGTAATCATTTTCATTTAATTTCACTGTTCTCTTTCCAGTCTTAATGATAATTTCCCCAGGCTGGTGGCCTCCAGATATTGGGAACTACAGTTTCCAGTAACCCTGATCATTAGTCATACTGGCTGGGGCTGATGGGAGCTGAAGCTGAAAACATCCGGAACACACCAGATTGGGAACAGAAATCTGTTCTCTTGGTTGCATGATGAGACTTCAAGGAAGGTCTTTCAATTCCAGCCCGCTAAGCATGTCTAAATCCTATGGACTTACTTCATATCATTGCCTGAAGGTTCCTGAAACATTTCTGTCTGAGAAACAAAATGCTCAGCTCTGCTGCACAGAAATTTTGTTTGATGGATGACATTGCTGTCCTCGGA